TATATATATATATATATATATATATATATATATATATATATATATATATGTATTGAAAATACGTCCTTGAATGTATATGAAGAGAAAATGTGTAAGTTTGTAATCGTTTTCAGTTCACTTCCGAAACGCAGTCATTTTGTTTCGGGGTTTCAGTAAAAATGGTATGAGAGGATGGTAATTCTGGAAGTACCGTCTCATGCGGCTATAAAAAATCTCATGAAACGCGTCGTAAGAGGAGTATACAGAGGATATCATTGGACCCCTATATCTCGCAGCTCTTTTGTTTAGGGACTAAGTTAGGCCTTGTTACACCTGCGAAGCGCCTCTGCTGTGTACACGCCGAATCAGAGTTGGTATTCACATCAGACTTTGATACGTTTAATTCGGAGTTTGTTTTATGCCACCTATTAGGTGGCACAAAACGTTGCAGAAAAACGAAATGTGAATGGCAAGGTCGATCATTAGTGATAATGCAAGCTAAAAGTTCGAGATGCTTCGGAGTGGCTTAAACTTTCAACTGTTAAATTGAGTGGCCCTATGGCAGATCAAGGAGGAAGTTCTGCAAATTGCGTCATTGACATGTGTCGCATGTGTCTACAAGCATAAAATGCTCTGCATTAACTGTATTGCTCATTTTAGTCAATTTAATTGTCGGCGAATTTCTGTAATTGTCCTTCGTTGTGCTAGCGATAAGCTAGCCGTTGATTCACTCCTCTTGCTTGTTTGTTGACCGAGTAGAAAGAGGAAGAGCGTTTGGCAAATTAATTGCAATCAAAGATTTGTGAATGATAACTCGTGTCTGGAAAACTCTCCAAGGGTTTATATATGCACCGTTATACACACCTTATCACAGGGTCCAGAGGAGATGTGTTTGTCGTTAGAACATCAAAACCCGTCGAAAACCTCTGAAAAAAAAGGGGTTATTTTGATCGCGTTACGGTTTCGTTACACATTCTATAGACCGCAAACCAAGAGACTGAGGGCTCGCAAGATCGGCTTACAGTATAAAATACGGACTTGTCCTTTCTTTTACTCGGCACTTCGTGACTCGGTCGCCCTCCGGGCGACGGCCTTCGGTCACCCTTTCGGGCGACGTGCCGTGCGCCAGCGAGGATATGGCTTGCGGTTATTGATTTTCCAAAGTCGATCTGGGTCAGATAAGAAGCGAAGAAATCGTTTACAGTAGATTCATTAAGATCCCATTGGGCTAATTAATCGTGCTAAGCGACAGGTATAGACATTTTTCAAGGTAAGTAATTCATTTATTCACACGAAACTCCTCTGGACCCTGTGACCTTATAACTTCATCTGCACTTGACGAGATTCTTTTGGTCCATTACTTCCAAAACAGCTGCTCCACAGAATGTCACTGATCCAACAAGTAACGCAAAAGAGTATCGAAGTATAATTTTACATTAAGTGTCACAAAATCAACCTAAACGGTCCCTTCGGGGATTTTCTGTTTTACGTCATCCTGACCATCTCTTACTTGCTAGATTGCTTGCAGTCCGACTTTTCTCTTAAAATCCGTCTAGTTCTTATCTCAGCCAGCGCGATTGCAAACCACGACGTTATGTTACAGTAACGGATTGGGACCAAAAGTCTACTTACTTGCGGGAGTAAACAGTAGAAACGACATTATTACCCAACAATTCTATACGGCCCCTGATCAAGCAAATCGAGATTTTTTTCTCGTATACTGACTGTTTCTTTCAACTGTAAGTACTTTTCTATACATACGCGCGACCTACTAGGAGGCCTCCTCGGGAATTCGCCCTGAAGGCGAAATTCCTGCGGGGGCAACTACTTGTAAACAAAAATACAACAGTTTTTTTTTTCAGTAAATATACTTACCAAGCATTTTATAAAACATTACAAACAACAAAAATGAACTATGGAAAACAGTTAGGTTAACCAGGTTTTCAAAACCCACAATTTCAATCCGATTTAAGGGACTGTCCAATAATTATCAGGAGGTGGGGGCCGAAAACCCAGACGGGGGGGGGGGGGGGGGGAA